TACCCGGTAAAGTGGCATTACGAAGTGCGTTCGCAACGCCTAAGTCACAAAGGCCGACATCATTGCTTCTTCCTAAAGTCTATGCCGTGTAGCGTTGGTTTTCATGTCTATCCACAACCTTCTGTCTCGTGTATTTTCAATCAACTCTAACACAGATGATCCTATATGCCATGATGTCAAACTGTCCAGCATCTGTTCTTTCGTTCTCCCTCTGCCTCTCCTCCCCTATAACTTTCCTACTGTCACGATGTACACTTCTCATCACATGACCAAAGAATGTAGAAATGTCTCTTACTCATGTTAATTCAGAAGGTCATGGGTTCGCTTCCTGGTGGAGCCGGACTTCTCTTCAAAAATGACCTTGGCTCCCAGGTCGACCCAGCCTTGAGTGGGTACCGGGTGCAGTTCCGGGAAGTAGAGGCGGCTGGTGTGATATTGATCACATCACCCATATTGTGCCGTTGGTCTATAAAATATAAGTCTACCCTGTATGCCCTATAGGCCTAAAGGCGTGGAAAAGGGTCCTTTACTTACTTTACTTTACATGTTAATTCATCACTTCTCGCCAATAATCAGTTGGGTTATCAACTCGGAACTCCAGTCATACCTATAGGTGGTCAGATCTTCTTCTTACCTTATGCACTAGCGTCCAACAGATATTTGTTTTTCAGATAACACTTCTTGAACGTCTTTTGTGCCTCTCATGCCTGGCTGTGTCAATCTTCTCTCCAAATTCTTAGCAGTGACGTGGACGTACCATCCCTAACATTCTATTTAGCCCCTCTTTGTCTTAACAGTGTCGCCATGATCCAAAAGCCGCCCATCTGTCTTCGCCTTCAATGCCAACAACACCCGCGTGCAGCGAGACAGAGTAAAATAACCCTACCCTTAGCGGAACTTTGCGGTAACCCAATCAATTGCGTCCGTAGTGAGCCAGCCTCTAGCCGCTGCATCATACTGGTGGAATCACTGGGTTTCACGGCATCATTCTCGTGATAGAAAAATCCACCTACTGCCCCCTGACAAGCATGCCGTAAAAGGCGAATAATTAGGGGGTTTTCGACGAAATCGGAGTGCATCTGCCTGAGAGACACACACAAAAAAATACATACAATTATGCCAGATCTGTACAACTGATGTGCGATCAAAACTCAAGTTCTGAAGCAAGGCCACATTCTAGAAGTGGATGAACAACCAGAAATGTCACCCAGTCAGTGAACGCTAGTAAGAAACCTCAGTACACACACTATCCAGATTATAGTTAGTTCACTGGCCTCAGGGTGCAAATGTGATTTATACAGAAATTTTCTGTACAAAATTCATTATTTTGATTCTTCAACACACAGTTTAGTTTTTACAATCACCCTTGTACACTTACAAAACTAGAACTAAAAATGAAGTTTCTTGAATTTCCTCTACTGTTGAATGATAATAATTTTTTGCCGACTAATTCGATTCATTTCCACAATGCCCATAAGATATTCACAGTTCTCAAGCTAATCGAATAATCGGTATTGATTTGCGGTCATAGAAAGCAAGGGAAAGAAGTTATTATCAAATGTCTCTGTGTTGTGGACAAGCTAGGAAACGCGCACAAATTTCTTTGCAGTATCAACGTCATAATGAAATGCTTAGTTCTGAGATACTAGTAAGATTTTATTTTTACAGAAGCTCTCTCTCTCTTTTTTTTTTTTTTTGGGCCAAGTATGATATCCTCCAATTTTGAAGTATGTTTGGCTGTGTGTCTTCTATTTATCTTAGTGTCAATCATTTTTTTTTTAAATCTGTTTGTCTATCTGTTTGCATGTTAACCTGTCTTTTCGTTCATCTGCCCTCTTTTTTCATCATTTTATAACCTGTCTGCCATTGTTGGCACTTTTCCATCGTTGCAGACAATAGTATTATACTGAGCTGTAAGGAGGTATGGGATTGACAGCCCATGGCGATGGTGAGTGTGACTAGCAAGACCCAGGCACATTGAGAAACGTCTTCCAAAATTAAAGCATTGAATTTGTGGGCCCGTGTTGTTATCATGTCTGTTTACTGGGTTTCTTCTCAGACATTCAGCCATCAATCATCCTTTCTGTAATCATTTCTTCCTTTATTCTCAGTTCCTTGCTCATGCGTCCCTTCCACGCAACACGGTCTATGGCACTTAGTTCCCATTAATCTACCTCAATGTCTGTATCATTCATACCCAAGTCTTTATATCATGACAGAGTCTGTCCTCGACATCTTCTACACAATTGTAATTCACTACATCATAGAGCAGTGGTTCTCAACCTGTCGGTCGGGACCCCTATTTGGGTCTAGCGACCCTTTCGCAGAGGTCGCCTAAAACCATCAAAAAACACATATTTTTTGAAGCTATGAAGGAAAGTAATTGTCTGGGGGTCCTCACCACAAGAGGAGACTGTGTTGAAGGGCGTCAGAGAGTTGAGGGCCACTGCCATAGAGGATGTTTTTAGGGACTCTACCGTCTTCTACTCTCCGAGTCCTACCCAAACACCAGAGCCTTCTTGAAAAAAAAAAAAAAAACTGTAATGCCTGCTCTTCCTAGAACCTCAGTGTTTGTTCCATTTAATGTCAGATACTCTTTTTAGACATCGCATATGAGCCCCGATTAACAGTTTCTCATGGTGCAAATAAGTCGGCAACGTTTAACTAGCAATAAACAAGAGTATTGAGAACATAAGCCTGATAGACAAGAATGTTTGTTTTAATCGGGAGCTTTTTGTTCTTCCAAGCTTGTGTGTGTGTGTGTGTGTGCTTGTGTGTGTGTGCGCGCGCGCGCGCGTGTGTGTGTGTGCGTGTGCCCATTGTGTGTCCGCTGATTGTCCATCTTCCATAAACTTCCTGTACTTACCACTTGTGCGCTGTAGACTGGTGGGTGAGGGAGGGGGAAGGGGGCGAGGGGTTTGGTGTGTAAACCCAACGATTAAGAGCCCCATGGCCGGTGCTGATATCACGGACTGTGTGGGTTAGGATTTTATTTTTCCCCAACAGATAAAACTTACAACCTTACTGATGATTCGAACATGGGTCTGCCACATGAGAGCCCTGCGTTGTTAACCGTTTGGTCAGCCGCTTTTTGAAAGATTTATGAACTATCGCATGAGTTAAACTGTCTATCGAACGCTACTTGCTTTGTTTTCTCACTTGATTGATTGATTAGTACCTGTTCCTCTTTCCAGACGATTATTAGATTAGATTCATACACCAGTCATCCGCATCTGACTTTATCACTTATCTCGCATGTGATACTCTAAACTGTCTAAAACTGCACTATGAGGAGGCATGCCTATGGCAATGGCAAGTGTGACTAGCAAGACCCGGTCGCATTAAGGAAAGTCTTCCACGATTACAGTGTGGTATTTTGGGACCGTTGTTGTCAATATTTGAAGTTCATCCTCTCCGTAGCACAAAGTCTGGGTAGTGTTATAAAGAACATGTGTTGCCCATGCATATTGATCCTTATCTCGATCTTCCTTGTTTACCCGAAAGGAAGCTTTTAAATAAAGCAGGCTGCCGGATCAGAAGAGTAGTGCTTTATCTGTCCGCCTGTCAGAGCTTCCCTCCTAGACCAGCTGTCTACCAAGGCCTGGTCTGTCCTGCCATAACATACAGTTTTCAGGTTGCATTTCCTCTTCCAATGCGCTCCCACGTCCGAAGCCGTTAGCACAATTTTGGGATGTCAGGTTTGGTATACGCCGCCCAACATTCGGCGGAACCAAAGACAGGTTGTACCGGATACTTTTATATATTAGCTCAGTCATATTTGACCAAGACCTGACACACAAGAGTATGACATTTGAATAGAGTGATGTTACCTACACAATAATGCTATGATGTACTTACAGTTATGGACAGTTTAGAGTTCTTTTAAACACAGTATTTCCCCTCTCCACGTTCGCAGTCTGTAGGATCAGCATCTAAACCAGGGTTTTTCAAACTTTCTAATGCGTGACCCTTTAATACAGTTCCTCATGTTGTGGTGAACCCCAACCATACAATTATTTTCGTCGCTACTTCATAACTTCAGTAAATATGTGTTTTGCGATGGTCTTTGGCGACCCCTATGAAAGAGTCGTTTGACCCAAAAAAAGAATCGCGACCCATACGTTGAGAATCGCTGATCTAAATGATGAGAATCAAATCGGTGCATATGCCGGAAACCCTGCTTATTTGCACGGCCGTGGAAAACAGTTATTCTCAGGCACAGCAAAACGATTTCAAAGTAATCTGTTGACCACGGTGGTTGGGTCTGTGTCTTTAGAGTCCTTGTCTAACTTATAACCCCACCAGCACCCTACAACGAGCGACCAACACCCGGTTACACAAAGTGCCATCATTCGGATGAGGATCACGCAGGGACAAGTTCCAGAAAATCCATTAGGGCCCTTGACTACAGCTACGTGAGGGGCCCTAAAAAACGAAAAATTGAGTCCCATATATTGGCCACGAGAATTCTCTCCAGAGTGCTAACTTTTAGAAACCAAAAGGACGGCTGACGGTTGCTTTGGAGTTACGTGGTATCAGTTTAGAGTATCAGATGCGAGATAAGTGATGAAGTCAGACGCGGATGACTGGTGTATGTATGTAATCTAATAATCGTTCTAGCACACTGGACATCCCCATGGATGCTTCGTCTCCTGCAGCAAATGTATTAACGTGTAGATGCTGATTGTCCCAGTAGCACTTTGACCATACACACGTCGCACTCTCACACATCCTTTCTAGTTGGATCCACACTCAATTCCAGAGGCACACAGCCTAACTTTTGTGACCAGTACACAAGATATAATCTGTTTACAGACATGATTATCAAGGCTGCATGGGTGGAACTATACGAAGAATAGTGAAGGTCCCACTATGGTCATTTGTTAACATTCTGTTGTTTTTCCGTCTGAAATGATAACTATACACAGTATTCCAGTTTCCGAAGGATACAGTAGCTAACCAATAGAATTCAATTGAATAAGTTACCCACATTTCTGCAGGGCGGTGAAGGGGCGCATATGTCATGTCTGTGTGGTGTCGACCAGATGCTAACGGTGAACGTCTTTGAAGGTGTCGAGACTCTCTATGATGGCTTCAAAAGGGGACTTCAGCTCTCAGGTATGAATTCTGTTTGTGATTATGTACCTTTCTGTCATATACGCCTGTGATATGTGACCCCGTGGTACACATCGGCGACTAGGTCGCCCATTGGCTGACCGGTAGACGACTTCGTCGCCGGTCGGGACAGTATTTGGGTCTGTCTCTTTTGATTGCACCAACACTGCAAGAGGTTGTTTTTTTTACAGCTACTCAGTGGCGAGCAATGCTAAGCCATTTTTTTATGGCGCACATAACCTAGTTATAGTTTTAGCCTAAAGCTTCCTCTTCGGGGTAGGTGGTTGAACGTCGCGATCTCCCCCCCCCCCACCCTTTTTTCCACAAAGCAAGCCAAGCCAAGGCACCATGTGATGTAGTTAAGCCTTTGTTAAAAAGTCAGAAGGGGGTGAGTTTGGGGTTGTTATCCTTCCTTGGGTTCGCAAGTCAAGCAGGAATTTGGCAGATGCCTAAACTTGGATCACCCAGATTATAAGCACGTTACCTTTTTTGTCATCCCACCCAGGCACCCACCCCACTATGAATATTTGCTGACAGGTCCCTCAGCACAGTTCTTTTGAGTATTTGTGAATACAGTTTATATTATTTCAGATATAATACCGAGTCATTGTGAAACATTGCCGGCATTTTAAAATGTTAATATTCAAGAATAACATAAACAGAATTAGGGCAGACTAGACCCTTAGCTTTGGCTGGTAGCTAGTCTAGGGGAAAAGCTCTGATAGCAGGACAGACAGAACACTTCCCTTCTTCTCTGACACTTTCTGCCGAGTGCTTTGTTCTATGCGTTCTAAGTGCTACTTTTCCTATGGAGTAAACAAGGCAGGCCGAGTGAAGGGATCATGATGCATGGGCAATGCGTGGACTCAATACTGCTCATGCTTTGTGCTATGGAAAGGACCCGAAATCCAATGCTCTACTTGTGGAAGACTTTCATTAACGTGGGCAGGTCTTTCTAGTCACACTCGCCCTCGCTATGCCCAAAGCAGAAAATAACACTATTGTATGGAAAGACGGAAAGGCGCCAACGAATTATAAAATCAGTATCGAAACGTTATACACATGTGGCATTCGAAAATGTTTTACAACATGTATGGAGCTTTGTGCCATTATGAAAACCAACACAATGCGTTCTGCTGCTAAATCTCTATTCTAAACTGCCTCCCAATGTCGAACTCAATTATTTTTTTAAAAGCCCAACCCAAGCCCTTAAATAACCAACCTATGGATTCAATGGGGTTTCTGGGATCCCCGGGTGATCCGCATCCGAATGGTGGCACTTTGTGTCACCGGGTGTTTATCGCTCGGTGTTATGTCCTTGTGGCGTTGAACGTCATCATCATCATCGCTGCAAAATCTTCTGCAGGTGAAATCGAACCCCGTATTTCGAATCACGAAGTTATTCAATATTATCGATGAAATGTGTATATTTTTTTTTTCTGGCGGTTAACAGCTGCTGTTTACTGTCTGTTTGATTCTGTCTTCAAGGTGACAGACAGTGTCTTGGTTGTTTACTGTTTGTTTTATTCTGTCTTCAAGGTTACAGACAGTGTCTCGGTTGTTTACTGTTTGTATTATTCTGTCTTCAAGGTGACAGACATTGTCTCGGTTGTTTACTGTTTGTTTAATTATGTCTTCAAGGTGACAGACAGTGTCTCGGTTGTTTACTGTTTGTTTAATTCTGTCTTCAAGGTGACAGACAGTGTCTCGGTTGTTTAATGTTTGTATTATTCTGTCTTCAAGGTGACAGACAGTGTCTCGGTTGTTTACTGTTTGTTTTATTCTGTCTTCAAGGTGTCAGACAAAGCCTCGGTTGTTTACTGTCTGTTTTATTCTGTCTTCAAGGTGACAGACAGTGTCTCGGTTGTTTACTGTTTGTTTTATTCTGTCTTCAAGGTGACAGACAGTGTCTCGGTTGTTTACTGTTTGTTTTATTGTGTCTTCAAGGTGACAGACAGTGTCTCGGTTATTTACTGTTTGTTTTATTCTGTCGTCAAGGTGACAGACAGTGTCTCGGTTGTTTACTGTTTGTATTATTCTGTCGTCAAGGTGACAGACAGTGTCTCGGTTGTTTACTGTCTGTTTTATTCTGTCTTCAAGGTGACAGACATTGTCTCGGTTGTTTACTGTCTGTTTTATTCTGTCTTCAAGGTGACCGACAGTGTCTCGGTTGTTTACTGTTTGTATTATTCTGTCGTCAAGGTGACAGACATTGTTTCGGTTGTTTACTGTTTGTTTTATTCTGTCTTCAAGGTGACAGACAGTGTCTCGGTTGTTTACTGTTTGTATTATTCTGTCTTCAAGGTGACAGACATTGTCTCGGTTGTTTACTGTTTGTTTAATTCTGTCTTCAAGGTGACAGACAGTGTCTCGGTTGTTTACTGTTTGTTGTATTCTGTCGTCAAGGCGACAGACAGTGTCTCGGTTGTTTACTGTTTGTTTTATTCTGTCGTCAAGGTGACAGACAGTGTCTCGGTTGTTTACTGTCTGTTTTATTCTGTCTTCAAGGTGACAGACAGTGTCTCGGTTGTTTTTACTGTCTGTTGTATTCTGTCTTCAAGGTGACAGACAGTGTCTCGGTTGTGTACTGTTAATTTTATTCTGTCTTCAAGGTGACAGACACTGTCTCGGTTGTTTACTGTTTGTATTATTCTGTCTTCAAGGTGACAGACAGTGTTTCGGTTGTTTACTGTTTGTTTTATTCTGTCTTCAAGGTGACAGACAGTGTCTCAGTTGTTTACTGTTTGTTTTATTCTGTCGTCAAGGTGACAGACAGTGTCTCGGGTGTTTACTGTCTGTTGTATTCTGTCTTCAAGGTGACAGACATTGTCTCGGTTGTTTACTGTTTGTTTTATTCTGTCTTCAAGGTGACAGACAGTGTCTCGGTTGTTTACTGTTTGTTTTATTCTGTCTTCAAGGTGACAGACAGTGTCTCGGTTGTTTACTGTTTGTATTATTCTGTTTCAAGGTGACAGACAGTGTCTCGGTTGTTTACTGTTTGTTTAATTATGTCTTCAAGGTGACAGACAGTGTCTCGGTTGTTTACTGTTTGTTTTATTCTGTCGTCATGGTGACAGACAGTGTCTCGGTTGTTTACTGTCTGTTTTATTCTGTCTTCAAGGTGACAGACAGTGTCTCGGTTGTTTACTGTTTGTATTATTCTGTCGTCAAGATGACAGACAGTGTCTCGGTTGTTTACTGTCTGTTTTATTCTGTCGTCAAGGTGACAGACAGTGTCTCGGTTGTTTACTGTCTGTTGTATTCTGTCGTCAAGGTGACAGACAGTGTCTCGGTTGTTTACTGTCTGTTTTACTCTGTCTTCAAGGTGACAGACAGTGTCTTAGTTGTTTACTGTTTGTTTTATTCTGTCGTCAAGGTGACAGACAGTGTCTCGGTTGTTTACTGACTGTTTTATTCTGTCTTCAAGGTGACAGACAGTGTCTTGGTTGTTTACTGTTTGTTTTATTCTGTCTTCAAGGTGACAGACAGTGTCTCGGTTGTTTACTGTCTGTTTTATTCTGTCGTCAAGGTGACAGACAGTGTCTCGGTTG